AATTTTACCAAACATGCTCTAAATAGATTTTTACTACCAGCCAGGCATTGCTCCATTATCTCCGGTAATGTTTTGACTGGATTATTGCCAGGTGGCTTTTTGTTAGAGCAAGACAAATAAAATAATAATAAATTATGTTTGTTTTAATTAATTTTATTTGATTCATAATTTTTTTGAAATAATTAATTTAAAATATTAATTTTTAAATTAATTTTCATTTATTAAATAATAAATAATAATTATTCTATTAATTGATGGTTATAATTATCAATTTTTTTTTTATAAATGATATTTCATAATGACCTTAAAAAAAAGAAAAAAAAACTTTGTGGCAATAACTATTCCCTTTTCCTACTCACTTTTTCCAAATTTGGCCTAGATTTTGTGGACTTTGGACTCAGTTTTGCCTCCCTTTGACTCTAGCTGCTTTCTTTGGTCCTTACTTTTTTTTTTTCTTTTTTTTTTACAAGTGTAATGGTTAGGAAATTATTATAAATTAATTGTTAGCAACTGAGGATTCGATCCTCAAACTGAGTGAACATTCCACCCCCTCAAATGAGGTGCGCGGCCATCAAGCCGCTTTTGGTGAAGTTCACGACAGTGGTAGAGTTCGAAACTCTGACCACATCACCCAAACACTTAATACTTGGGATCGAACCATTAGGTCTAAAGGCTCGGTTCTTCTTTGGTCCTTACTTGATTGTATTAAAAATGTTAAATACCTTTTTTGGTCCCTCTACTATAGGAAAAAGCCCCTTTTTAGTCCCTATACCGAAAAAATCCCCTTTTTGATCTTTACTGTTTGAAATCCGGCTCCTTTTTAGTCCTTCTGTCAGTTAAGTGACAGTATGGCACAATTATCCGTTAAATGTCTTTTTTCTTGTTCTTTTTATTGGTGACATAGGATTACACGTGGCAAAATTGATGAGTTGGCAATCATATTTATTTTCCATGTAATCAATAGGTTTTAAAATAATTAAAAGAAAAAAGTCATTTTGCACCCAGCTTTTCTGGCTGTCGACTCGTCTACCGTCTCTGGTGGACTAGAAGCAGTGCTCTAGGCCGAAAATCCGCAGGCGAGAAGCAGCCGATTGTGGTGGCGCCTCCGCAGGGCCAGCGGATACCCGCGGACTAAAGAAGAGGAGAATAAGGAAGGCAGAGAAGGTAGTCTCAGAGACGATAGCATCTTTGGGTAAGTCGTTGGGGGGTTTCGACAATACGACACAGTGAGAAGTCGGGGAAGACAAGGTCCATTGTGTTGGGACGAGCGAGCGGGACGATTTCGCGATGGTCGTTTCCATGGGTTGATAGGCCCGTGGGCATGGGTCAGGCAGAGATCTAGATTGAATGGAGGTGGTTTCTTAAATTCCTCCTCCATCTTTCGCTTTGGCGAGACCTTTGATCTTGAATTTGTAAATCTGAAGTTCGAGTTCAGATTCATTGTTTCTTGGAGCTTCTGAGTATCCGTCTAGGTTGCTTCCGAAGTTTCATCGGATGCTGGTGGAGAAAACATCAACTCCGACAACAGCCGGAGGGTTCTGCCAAGGAGAACAGTCTCCACCGCCACCTGGCACACATGCCAGTTCCCCATCCACAGCAACCCTACTGCGCTGTTCACCGGATTCACCATCCTTCCTCACGCTTCAAACAACAAGGATTAAAACAACGTTGAAACACAAACACAACACAACACACGACACAAGCAATTGAGCACAAAATTGAAAAATCCAAATCCAATCCGAGAAATGTGAGAAAATAATAATAATAAAAAAGGACACACCAGAACGCTGAGATTTTGGAACGACAGAAAGGAAGGAGATGAGGCCAGAGTGGCCAAAAAACTTGGCAACGAAAACGGTGGCGTGGCCTTGGGCCTCGGTGCTGTCGATCCACTGAAGACAGGGACGCAGAATATAGGACTCACTGCATCCCTTTCGCAAAATGCTACACCCATTGCAACTCATCGAATTCAATCTGGAGTTGTTTGTTTGGGAAGAACATGCCTTTTTTTTTTTTTTGGCAGAGATTGAGAACCCAGCTTGCGCTTGGGTTTGTGATGAACCCAGGCGCAAGCTGGGTTCGTTGACAACCTAGTCTTGCGAACTTGGTTCATCTTGGGTTTGCGAAGAACCCAAGATGAACCACCCAAGCGTGCTTTGGGTTCGTCGCGAACCCAAGATGAACTCGGGCGCGATGAACCCAAGTCACGCCTGGGTTCGCGTTGAACCCAACAAAAGTCTAAAAAAAAAAAAAAAGAGATGATAATGGAGGGAAAGGAGAGGATAAGACAAAAGGTGGAAGAAAATGGGGGCAAATTAGTGAAGATTTGAGGGCTTTGAAGAAGGAAGGTTTGGCGAAGAAGAAGAAATCAATGGGATTAGAGGGGGATTAAGTTTAGGCAAAGCTAGAGAGGATCGGGGATTTGGGTTTAGGAAGAAGACGAGGATAGAAATGGGAAATGAAAGGGAAACAATGATTTTTTTCTTTTAATTATTTTAATTATTTTAAGACCTATTGATTACATGAAAAATAAATTTGATTGTCAATTCATCAATTTTGCCACGTGTAATCCTATGTCACCATTAAAAAGAAAAAAAAAAGACATTTAACGGATAATTATGCCGTGCTGTCACTTAACTGACAGAAGGACTAAAAAGGGGCCGAATTTCAAACAGTAAGGATCAAAAAGGAGATTTTTTCGGTATAGAGACTAAAAAGGGGCTTTTTCCTATAGTAGAGGGACCATAAAAGGTATTTAATCTATTAAAAACTATTCATTAGCTTTTTCATTTGTTAAAAGATATGAAATATTAATTAAATTATTAAAAATATAAAATATTAATTACAATTAATTCTTTATAATAAATTTATCTTTTTAGATAACATTTTTGTTGACTCATCCATACTGATGCTTGGATTGTAGCCAAGCTCAAGCACATGCCATGATTTGTCTAGTGATTTTGTCAATGAATAGAAGGTCACCAAGTCAGGTGGAAGAGTACCCAGTTTCACAATGACAGGTCCGCATTCTGATCAGAAGATTAATTGAAGAGTTAATTGAAACATCCAACTATCTTTCAACCAAAGTTACCAAACAAATCTAACCAGT